TGTAACTTGTTCTTGTCATGTCATAGCTAATAAATTGCTCACATTATGTACACTCATTCATCAATTTATCTGATATCATATCAGTTTTTAAGAAATAAAAACCACCAAGTACATTAACGTTTGGCTCATAGTGAGACTTGACGCGTTTCCTGTCAAAAGCTTGGAAATAAGCTGCTTCCCCGATGAGCAACAGAAATTGAGAACAACACCAAGTTGGGATCATTCAGGTTTATATTGGCCTAACCCGTTGCAGAAAATTAATACTATCAGCACAATGATATTACTAAGACTGCGGGTTTTCTTACAAAGCAGGATTCATCTCAAGAATAAAACAAAATTATCGTTGGTAATTATCACCACTTGAATTGAACTACAAAATCATCACTACTTGATATAACAAAAAATATTGCTAATAATTATTTTAATCTTATTATTAAATTGTCTACACACAATCATGTGAAGTATACTTGAAAAGAAGTCAAAATAAATATTAAGATCAAGACATTTTATTTGTCGTACAAAACGTTTCCGGCATACATTTTGTACTTCCGAACACTGGTTAGCCCATCTGCAGACCAAGATCATCTTTTAGCCGCATTTTTCCCCAAGATTTGCTGCCTGACTTAATTTTACATATTTTTGTAACCTCCACCTCCAATGCTCAAAACTGTTCTAGACTTGAAAAATTCGTTTCATTCTGTTTCCTGTCCTTTGTACGCATGAAAACTTCATCTAGAAATCTTATTCTACTGCCTGCAAATCATTTTGTTTAATAACGTTGTATTTGCAAACGTCACAATGTCCAAACGTCAAACAAAACCATCGCACTTCGGCGTAGACCATCGCACTTCAGCTTGACCATCGCACTTCGGCGTAGACCATCGCACTTCAGCTTGACCATCGCACTTCAGCGTGATCATCGCACTTATGTGTCCTTATCGCACCTCCGAGTCCTACATATATATCAAATTAAGGAAACAGTCTTTTACTTACGGGTTCTTAGTATAAAGAGTCTACAATCATTACTATCGTTTAGAATAGTAGAACTTTTTATCTATTTAATGTTTGAAATTTGATGTACGTTTGATTAACGCGAATATTCCATCGAACTTGAGATTAAAAATACAACATATTTCAGTTAAGTCTGCCTCATATCTAGACTAAATCTAGAAATTGACAATGGACGTCGCTTGAAAACAAATCTTTACGACAAAAGAGATGATTTCAGCTTTTCAATTGTGAACTTTCCATTTCTTTGTAGCAACATTCTCGCAGCGCCTGCATACTGAGTATATATCTCCCAGTTGATACGATATTCCGGAGCTTGTATTTTCTATCATGATTTCTTTGAAAGAGGGTTGTTGCTCGCAAATAAGCCATCAAACCAAGAGTGTTAAATGGTGTAGCTGAAATCATCACTTCGTAAATTTTATGGACACCATCACGAGTTGGTTGACAGTTATAGAATATACAACGGATATGTCCCAATTGTCGTAACTACAATCCCGTCCCCATTTCCCCGAATGTGACCTACCGAATTAGACTTATCACCGGGTTTTCACTAACATGAGTAACACGATTGGTGCCAAATGTGGAACAGGATCAGTTACCCTTCCGGAGCTTCTGAGATCACCCCCAGTTTTAGTGGAGTACGTGTTGCTCAATCATTAGTTTCCTATATTGTGTTTTGTGTACTATAGTTTTTATTCTTTTTTAGCCATGGCGTTGTCAGTTTATTTTCGACATATGAGTTTGAATGTCCCTTTGGTATATTTTGCCTGTCTTTTGATTCTCTTGTATTGTGTTCATGGTCATAATTGCATTCATTAAGCACGATGTTGGTGTATCCCATAAGCAAATGCCTGTACCAAGTCAGGAATATGACAGTTGTTATCCATTCGTGTGATGAGTTTGAGCTTTTGATTTTGCCATTTGATTAGGGACTTTCCGTTTTGAATTTTCCTCGGAGTTTGGTATTTTTGTTATTTAACTTTTTTCTATAGCATATATTTCTAGGTGCGCTTCAATATCCTCACACATTTTTGTATGACAAGCTATGTGTTTGCTAATACAATCCATAAAAGGCTGAAGGAGATTGTCTTTATTAACAATGTTCTCGTAAATAGGTTTGTCCATCTCATTTATTATCTGTTTGATCGTATAGCAGTATTTTGATCTGATTTGTTCAAATTCCGTACATTATAGGATAAAATGTTTCATATCTTCTTCTTCTTGTCCACATATTGTACACAGCGGATTTGTTTTGATATCAAACTTGACTCTCTTTGCTTGCAATAGATATGTTTAAGCAGCCTATCTTGACGTCTCTTGTGTTGTTTTCACACTTTTCCAAATGTTATGGACTTGATTTAGGGCTTATCATGTATCTATATATATATAAACGATGTTTTTCCCATTTTGTCTTGGTGGCATTTATTTCTCCAGTTTTCGTTAAACTTAGTTTCTAACAATCTTTGCTATTTGATTTTTTTAATTGAATTTTCTATGTAATGGCTACATAACTTCATGTTGTACTTAGAAAGAATGTTTGCACTCTATTGGTAGAGGTGGCAATGTGGACTTTGTTCCAGATTTTTTATCATCAAATATAGATAAGATTAAGCATCGAAATAAACTCATGGGACAGCTGACATCTCTGATGAAGGTTGGGACACCGGTAATCAATACGACGCGAATAATATTGCAAGTGACTTTTTAAACGAAGCAAACGTTATCAGAGCTGATAGTATAAGATCCCGTACGAAAAGAAAGCAAAGTGTTTGCATGATAAAGGGTCTAGTATAAAAATGAGAAGATTTGGTATCATAGCCAAGGAGACACCAGGGTTAAAATGAAATGGTAGTAAACAATCATAGGCCACCGTACGGCCATAGTACCTAGTTTATGGCTTTAAATCAGTCTCTATTAAGACAGTTACAGAGTACAGCCCTGTGTATTAGCAGTCTTTGTTCTATGGCATTTCGCTCCAACAATGCTTCAACGCTTGATACAGAAGGGGCAATTCTACTCGTGTGGTTCCTAGCTATAATTGAGGTTTAGCTGTCCGTATAGAAATCAACAGCAGTAGATAAGCCATCCAAACCAATGTACAGTGAATATTTGAAAGATGCGTATGTGTTTAAGTGTTTTTATTTTAATCAACAGACAATTACATTGATAACAATCTGACTAATAATTATTTGGCATATGAAGTATGACAATCCGATATCTTATTAAAGGGAAAAATAAGAAAGAACAAGCAATTTTGAATAGATAATCGGTGCGCCTAAATTTGTTATTTATACCATTAGAAACGGTCACCTTTTAATCGATTTAAATATAAGTTTGTTTGTGTAGTAATTTGTCAGCTGTGAAGAATGCAAATTTTATTGATTTAATAACTAAGGGTTTAAATGTAGAGACGTCATTCATTGTCCTTGTTGTGAATCCTTTAACTGAGTTTATTCAGTCAAACTTTAAAGACGTCTGAAATAAGATCGGAGAGATGTAACAAACAATAGTGTAACCAAATCTACCAACCAGTAAACTTGATAGGTATTGGATCATCAAAATTGACAATACTACACAAACATATATGTATGACGTATGGTATGCTTACTAGTATCATTATGTTGATATTGTCTGGCCTCGTACAAAATATATCGGATGACATATGAATTCTAACAGTGACAAACATATTTTAAATCCAATGTTTGGTCGCAGTACTGCTTGTTATATATTTACTAAATTAACTAGACTAACACCGCCACATTTTTCAACCTGTCCCAAGTCAGGAGCCTTTGGCCTTTAATTGTTAGTCTTGTATATTTTTTTTTTAATTTAAGTTCATTTATATGTTTTGGAGTTTAGTGTGACGTCCATTTTAACTGAACTAGTACACATTTTTGTTTAGATTTTCTGCTCTTTGCTTGGGTTGGTATCTCTTTGACACATTTCTCATTTCGATTCTCAATTTTAAAACATATTAAAATCTGCAGAATCGTGGGATAATAGATTACTATTTATTGAGTTCATTGTGTACATGTTGATGATGTAATCAGATGGCTATAAAGGATTTGCCATTTACACACAATTATAAAAACCCACTGTTTTAAATATTAACATTATACAGATAAATCAGGTTGTTTTTTTACTATTCCTGTCCATCGTTTTAAAAAGATTATTAACTATTTTAGATACTGACAAGTATGTAGCCAAGAAGTGATAAAGTATTTGTTAAGAAGTTAGCTTCCTTAAGACGAGAGTTTATTGCTACGTCTCCGGTTATAAGCAACATAGTAGTCATAGTATATTTAATGACACAACATGTTCTTTAAAATTAGCAAGGCTCATACAATGAGCAGTTACATACACTTATAAAGAAAGTCTAGGTCTTAATATAATGTATCATGTTAAATCTACATGGTGCCAATGGTCATTTATTTTAGTCTGATGTTTTATAGCAGTCTATAGTTGTAACATAGTAGAAATTCCATGAAACATTGATAAAAAGTAAAATAACAAAAATGCCGAACTGCAAGGGAAATTCATAACGGAAAGTCCTTTATAAAATGGCAAAATCAAAAGCTCAAACATTGATAATAGCAAGATTCACAGTTCCATCTAGATAGAGTTGAAAACAGTCAAAGTGTACATTAGTCATTGATAAATCATTTCAGAATTAAGTTGTTACTAAAGTTGATAGTGACGACAAATATCTTTATGATACAAAAGTAGGAATCTCTGGAAAAAACCGACAGGAAATCACTTGAGACTTTCAAAAATTGACGTTTACTGAATCAGCTCAGTATCAAGATACATTTACGATATTAAGAAAAATCCTGAGATTTTTTTTTTTAAATAAATTTTTTAGGATTGTAAAAATTACCAACAAACGATGAACACTGTTTTACATTTACATCCTGACAGTTTTCTTTTGGCATATAGAAACCGTCCATTCCATTGTCTTAAATAAAACATTGAGAAAAAAGCGTACTTACCTGGGGTGAATCGCGGACGAAGTTTATTATTTTCATTTCTAGCTACGTGTTTTTAAATATATTTTCTTATGCAACGCAATAAGTACAGCATAACTTACGGAAATAGAACGTCATTTTTATTTTTAAACATACAGGTTTACTGATTTGTACGGATTGTGTATATTATTGTCCCCCATGATTGTGTCTATTGGTTCAACCAAATATCACATGACTTGAATAACTTCCGTCTACTGGATATCCAAACTTAAAATACCTAGGTTTTGCCTACAAATAAGTAAAACATGTTTAAAGATATATTCTATTAGCAATTAACAACGAGGCTTCTTTTGGGTTTTATGTTTAGGGATGGCATGACTACCAATTGCCTACTATTTTGTATCCAAGTGCAGTATGTATTCATCTCTACAAACTGATCAACTGGTAAAACTATGAGTGGCCGTTCGTACGGAAGCGTATTTCGGCCTCGCTTTGCCTTATTAACATTGCTTTATAATGCAACATTTGCCTTAATTTTCCATGTGTTGTGCATTAGTAAGGCAAAATACTGCAATAATAATGCGTAGTTTTCGTGATATAAGGGTTGAATGATCTCTTATTTTAATTGCTTTATTTTCTTATTAATGTATCAAGGCATTATTAATATTCGCCTTAATATTAGAGAATTTAAATATGCATTACTTATGCTTGTCATTCTATTTGTAAGATGAAATTATAGAATCATGTGCAAAACAGTGTAGCCGAGACCATTGATTGGCGCGCTAAAATATCCCATTGACTGGGTCAGATTAGGTGAACGTTCGTCTGTAACGCCCACAACTCACGACGTATTTATTATAGACATTTAAACTGTGGGGTCACCAAAGGGCCTCAACGCCTAAATAAAATAATTCGAAAAACTAATCAGGAATAACCTTTGTGTTTTGATTTATGTTGAATACTTAAACGTTCTTTACTTGCGTTTTTGTTATGTTTTGATAATGAATGTTTATGATATCGGACGTTCTTTCAGCAAAAAAGGATTAAACTGGCTTTAAAAGTTACAATGGATATGTTGATAATTATCTTTTTTTCGGACGTCAAAGCGATTTAACAATTGCGGTTGTCCAATTATGTCATCTTTAAACTTTTATCTGGTCAAAATTTTATTTTAGAACGAATGCATGATCAACTTTAAAAAGTGTGCAAACACAAAACATATAGACAAAATATACTTCTTTCCTGTCTTTTTCGTACTTGCAAGTTATTAGACAGTAAAAAGGCTATTTGGATCAAGCCTTGTGAAATTTGCATTTACGTTTTTGAATAGGTAAAATGTATAGTTTGGTGATCTTTTCTGCTAACTACTATACTTGTGAAAAACCCTTGGCAACAGAAACATATTCAGCTTTTTTTTTAACCGACCCAATTTACATAGTAATGGACGACTTCGTACATTTTATGATCGCAAATAAAATATGTATATAATATACTGTGCACTGTAGTTCGTATATATACTGAGACCCTTTGGCAACCCCACAGTTTAAATGTTTATAATAAATACGTCGTGAGTTATGGGCGTTAGAGACGAACGTTCACCTAATCTGACCCAGTCAATGGGATATTTTAGCGCGCCAATCAATGGTCTCGGCTACACTGTTTTGCACATGATTCTATTATGTTTCTACAATGTTTTTCTTCAAAAAAAAGCAATTCATAAGGGTAATTAACACGAGTTTGTGTATTGTGGAATTATAAGTCGACTTAATTTTGTCGAGTTTTGCATTGCCTCGTTATAATTATTCCTAACCGTTGCGTTATTTTTCTAATCCTATTCTCTTTCACTGTTGTGAAATATTGGCTTTAAATATTGTAAAAGATAATATAAAGCTTGATTCCAAATGTCTATCTTCTGAAATAACGGAAATAAAAATAAATTTGCAAAGTATGTGCTAGGGGTAAACAAATTTAGGTGCTGTATCTGAGTTAGGAATTTATCCAATAAACATTTTAGCATGAAAAGCATCAATTGGATTTTGGATGCATTTACATATATAATGCTTGAAAATCTTAATCCTGAAATTCCACGTTCGGATCTCTTGCGTTTTTAATTACCGCTACATCAACATCAGGAAATCACATGTTTTACTTTGAAAGACTTACCGATTCCTTAACGATAATGAAATAACTCTCCTCTAAATCATCTCTCATCAACCTTTTGAATGTCCGTCTGCGTGCAAAAGCATCCTAGGAATGACGTAAATCATGTAGATTTACGTGTTAAAACGAAATAATTAATCATGATTAATATGAAAATTTGTGTATATTTAACAATTAAGCGAGAAATTTAAAGTAATGTTAATTCTTACTCACAGATAACCCTGGAAAAATAATGCACAGTTGGGAATAATTATGATGAGGCAATGCAAAACTCGACAAAATTTAGTCGACTTATAATTTCACAATACACAAAATTGTGTTAATAAGCCTGATGAATTGCTTTTTTAAAGAAAAACATTGTTGAAAATTTATATCATTTCATCTTACAAATAGAATGACAAGCATAAGTAATGCATATTTAAATTCTTTAATATTAAGGCGAATATTAATAATGCCTTGATACAATAATAAGAAAAGAAAGCAATTAAAATAAGAGATCAGTCAACCCTTATATCACGAAAACTACGCATTATTATTGCAGTATTTTGCCTTACTAATGCACAACACATGGAAAATTAAGGCAAATGTTGCATTATAAAGCAATATTAATAAGGCCCAAATACGCTTCCGTACGTTCGTGTCGTTTTCGTGATATTCCATCGCGTTTTACTACACAATCGCGTTACTTTAATACACTATGGCGTTATTTCTCCCTTCTATCGCGTTAGTTTCCAAAACTAACGAGTTATTATACAAAACTATCGCGATATTTCATTTTTACTATTAATTTGAAATATTATCAAACTAACGCGTTGGTTTTCATAATTAACGCGATATTATTTATTCAAGTAATAATGCGTTATTTTGTAAAACTATCGCGTTAATTTGTTAAACTAACGCGTTATTTCTTCATTTTATGAAAACTATCGCAATTATACGCGAATAAGTATCATCCAATGAGAGCCTGTGATATTTCCATGTTTTGGCATTAAAAGCAAAATGGCTGGAATCCACGGAGACCGAGATAGATTTTTGCAAAGAATAAAAGAGACAGTAGATCATTGCTTCAGATTAGAAACATCAGATATTTTAGAGACGGAAAATCTGACAAACGTTTACTTAGGTAAACATTGAATAATTTGAATTGATTTCAACTACAATACAATAGTTTGAGGTGTATCCCTTCGTGTGTGTGTGTGTGTGTGTGTGTGTGTGTGTGTGTGTGTGTGTGTGTGTGTGTGTGTGTGTGTGTGTGTGTGTGTGTGTGTGTGTGTGTGTGTGTGTGTGTGTGTGTGTGTGTGTGTGTGTGTGTGTGTGTGTGTGTGTGTGTGTGTGTGTGTGTGTGTGTGTGGGGGGGGGGGGGGGGGGGTATGGGTATGTACACGGTTAATGAATAAGATGACATAGAGCCATTAACAACGTCCAAACGACAGCTTAACATGCCATCTCTTTATGTACTGTCCCAGTCTGTCAATGGGGAAGTCTAAAAAATATTGTCGATCCCGTCCCAAAACCACAATATATTTGTGTTTTTTCAACATCATCGTCTGCATCAACCCATATGGACCACGCACTTTCAAACCCCTAGCCAGAACAAGGAAAAATAGGTATTACCCTGAGCCGAAATCCTCATCTTTGTGTTCGGGATCTGGAGCAGTCATCCCTCTTGCCCGGTTGATCAATCCATGAATTTGCGCCAAAGACATTTGGAATAAAGTAGCCAATTCATGTGTTATCTCCCCTGTCTCTTCAGATTCGGTTCAGAGGAACAGCACTTGTGATTGGATAACGACATTGAAAAAAATAACAAAACGTATCGTGTATTTCCAATATAATATCCCGTTAAATTACATTAGTAGAACTAGCGCGATAGTTATGGACATTAACGCGATAAAATGAAGAAATAACGCGTTAGTTTAACAAAGAAACGCGATAGTTTTACAAAATAACGCGCTATGTTTACTATCGCGTTAATAATAAATATCGCGTTATTTACGAAAATTAACGCGTTCGTTTGATAATATTTCAAATAAATAGCAAAAATGAGATCTCGCGATAGTTTTGTGTAATAACGCGTTAGTTTTTGATACTAACGCGATAAAATGAAGAAATAACGCGTTAGTTTATTAAAGTAATGCGATAGTTTAGTATAATAACGCGTTATTTTCACTAACGTGATAGAATATCCCGCAAATGACACGAACGGCAACTCACATTAAACAGCTTAGCTATATGCTCCAGTAAAAGGTTGTTAGTGTGAAGCGAGCGCAGTGAAATAATAATAATGCTTATCATCTAAGTCGAGTTATTTAATATGTCTGTCATGAAATCGAAATAAAATAATCAACTTCTATGATATGAGGCACTGGTTTATAAAGGTCTGACTAGGATATGAAATAATAATTTATTGCTTTGTTTTCTAACAGGAGGTTATTGCGTCATTGTTATTTGGATAATTACTAAGTTGTTAATATAAGAAGGAAAACATTCACATTATAAAAAGCAAAACAAATTTCTGTCAACTATTAACTTCCTAAATACTGACTTTTTTTCAGGTGTTTTTTACACATTATGTTCATGATTATTCTACAATTACCATGTGTTTGGAAGAAAAACACTGAAATTTATTTTAAAGGTGAGTCAAATTTTGAAAAAACGGTTGAAAATATATCAAAGGACACAATCAAAGTTGTGTAAATCTATTAGGTTCCTCTGTAAATTACATGGGTATCATCAGCCCAGACATGAATTATCATTGATATGGTCAGAATTATAAATTATCTGTTTACAAAATTTGAATAGTTCATAATACTAATGATTTTCTACCGAAGGAATAATTTATATTAGCTCAAACCTTTCAAAATGTTGGTTCCTCAATGCCCTTCAACTTTGTACTTTATTCGGAATTTCAACATTTTTTATTCGAGCATCACTGATGAGTCTTTTGCAGACGAAATATGTGTCTGGCATACTAAACCGTAAGCTTGGTATCTTCGATTGTTTTTTTTT